ATTATATTTGAATATTTTTATATTACCTACACTCGGCGCACATTTCCCTCGAGACGATTCTAAGTACACGTTCTACAAAGTAGGTTGACGCGAATTTTTACGTTTTTAATAAATAATCTTAGTTTTTTAGCTCGTACTAGAATTTTGTTTATGGAAAAAGGAATCCAATTTCCTCCGAAAATATATATTCACGAGATCAGTTTAATATTGCTCAGTTTTAGTACTCAATATCCGTATTAATCAGACGGAGCCCTATAGGGCTGGTTCAGCCGTGGTTGCGGAGTAAGCGCAATGAGGCACCGCGACCTCGGCCCAGGGCAGAAGAAGGAACAGGGGGGTTTTAGTCAGTAAGAGTCTGACACTCCCTCCCGCCCGGCCCTGGGTGGGAGAAGTAATTCGATGACTATCCCCTAAAAAAAACCGTATTAATAAATATGTATTTTTGTATCATTTTCAATTGTTAATAATAACCTGGGATCATATGGAATTTTCCATTTTATTCGTATCACGAAGAATGATGTTAAAGGTAACTTCAACACATTTTTATCTGCTCCTTCAATATTATTATACTACTACCTTGATATTAACGTCACTTTATTAGCCTATAAGTGCCCGCGGCTGATCAAAGGCCTCTTTTTATCATACGGAGAAGGTTTGAGCATTAATCACCTCAGATTAGCGATTGCAAACTATAGGTGTACTTCAGATTTACTTACAATGTTTTCCTTCACCGTATGTCAGCGGTGTCTAAATAATCATAGAAAGCACAAATCTACTCCGAAAAGTGACATTGGTACTTGTCAGCTTTCGAACCCTCATACGTGAGAAGCCTTAACCTCCGGGCCAGCAAAGCGATATTTTATTTGATAACAACATCATTCCACACAAATAAAACAAAACTTTAATGCAGGTGTGGTGTAGTGTAGTCGTCGCAAGCAATAATATTCGACAGGATTTTCTTTTTATGAAGGTTGTTTTAAAAAATCTGAAGCAAGCGGGATTTTTTCCTCACAAAAATCGCCCTAGTAGTTTTTCAGCCTCGGCCAGTCAGTTTGATGTGATCTGAGCTAATAGTATTAATGTTTATGCTATTTATATTATGATATTTTCTTTTTAATTTAATTTATAAGACAATTTTGTATTTGTTTTTAATTTATTGACATTTATTTTTATACGAAATTAATGAGTTGCTTGAATTAATAAATGAACAGACCACCATTCTTTTTAACAGACCAGCTCTGTTCAGCTCAAGAAAACCATGACTATATCTATAAACCAATATGAAGAACCATTCACATAATAAAGGGCAAAACTTTAAATATTCGTTGCGATATTTCAGTAGATATTGCGCCGCCATGCTGATTTATCATTCGCGTGATGGTCCACATGGCAAGCTTGTCTCTACCGGAAAATATATGGCATCTTCGAAGCGCAGAAAGATGGGTAATTTCATTGAATTTATGAACGTATCACCGTTGATATTGCGACGCTGAAAATTTGGACGTAAAATTGTGATAAACATTGTATTTAATGTTACATATATTATATGAGTTTGTTGAAAGAATATGATTTAAATAGCGTTGCGTTATTACTGTATTACCGTCTGAAATGGTAAATAAAACAATATATTTTTATGGGACTAATTTCTATTAGATGTTATTGTGTGTGTATTATTAATATACTATAATCTATCTATATATCCTTTTTCAACTGCAACCTCTAATCTACATAAGTGGCTATCGCAAACCCTAGGATGTAAAGAGGCATTGGTAATTTGTCTAGTGACAAATTTACAATCCAATTACATCCTAGGGTTTGTAACAAGCAGACTGCCTGCTTTTGTCTGCTTGTGACCACGACCAGGTTGAAACGTCAAGGTATTTAAATATTTATTTTCCGCATTAATACCCGCGTTACTATATGTTGTAAATATGAAACGCAAAAGTTTAAAAGTTATTAAATTATCAATGTTACAAATATTTTGCATCCAGCTAACTTACTCAATTTCCCTTGGGGTTACTCCTACGCTACACATACGTCATAGCGTGATGTTTTCGTTGCCTGTTGTCGTCCACTGCTGGACATAGGCCTCCCCAATTGCACGCCACTGAGCTCGATGTTCAGCTCTTCTCTTAGTTTGGTTAAGACTTACTAAATTCATATAATCATATTTGTCAACAACATACATAATTCAATTTCTATTTGAATAACCTCTTCCCCTAAATGTCATTTACCACTGAATCTTAAATAAAACTTCAGCGCTATCTATTATATTATTAAAAAGTTTGTTAAGTACATGAAACAGTATATTCTAATTACTTATGTAAGTAATTTTGTTTTTGAATGCTTTAGGTTTTGTATGTATGCCTGTCAAAAACCCTATTTAGCCACATCTAAATACTTACCCTTTATTTAGCGATTTACCGTTGCCACTTCGATGATTGTATGAGCACGTGCCTACATAATTATTTGTAGTAATAGTAACATAGAATTGTGTGATAATAATGTCGTGGTGGCCCGTGGGTTAAGGAGCCCGCTTCTCATGCATGAGGGTGTGGATTCGAAACCTGGCAAGTACCAATGTGACTTTTTCCGAATTATAGGTACTTTCTATGATTATTTAGACACCACTAACATACGGTGAAGGTAAACATCGTAAGGAAACCTAGACTTATAATTTCTAATTATAAGTTTGAAATCGTTAACCCGCATTGAGCAAGCGTGGTGATTAATGCTCTAACCTTCTCCGTATGAGAAGAGGCCTTTGCTCAGCAGTGGAGAGCCCACTGCTGAGCAAAGGCCTCTTCTCATACTTGTAGGCTGATGATGAACATAGAATTGTATCAGAAACGCTAATGTAATTTATTGATTTCACGTTTTGAACTCAAAAAAGACACCCATTCCAATGCCGCTTATAAACTCATGAAAATTCACGTAGAGTACACATTAAACGCAATGTAACACAAATCATGAATAGAGACTTCCTGCAAACGAGTGTACGAGTATTTCCGAAAATAGAGCGATTACCGCAGCTGCAGGAAAATGGCCGACTGGGTTTACGCTAAAACGGTAATACAAAAGCAATACCCAACACTTCTAGTGGCACCCACAACAAAAGCAGGATATTTTGTAAACATTTTACTGCGTCCCAGTCTGTGACGATATTGTGGACGCTGTCGTTGCAAAATGGCGGTTTTTACTGCCTTCCACGAGACCGTTTGGTAACGTTACATCCCGCCATAGTTGTCGTTATACTGAGAAATGTACTTTAAAAGTAAGAGTTTTTTTACTCCCGAACACGTTTTGTCTTTCCCTCCTGTTTCATCAAAAAAGTAGTTAAGTAAGCGGAACTTTCACTCTGTTACTCACAGATGCTGAATGAAACTGATTAATTGGACATTTTTCCAACGTTGTTTTTAACAAACTGCATCTAAGTGGCTATCTATGTGTATAAAGAAAATGATGTTTTGAATGTTAGCAGACAAGCTTTCACAGTTTGCCGGCACTCGGCGCTCGTTAAGGTGACAAAATATTGTTTTTAGTTCCCTCTAACGCACCGTATCTCCGGCCCAACTGCAATTTTCTCACTTAGGAACCATGGCTATTTGCAAAACGTGTGAAACTTGCCCACTAAAGTTGCACTACGGCGGAATTTTGTTTATGTTTATAGTACGCTAAATTACACTAGCTTTGAAACTACAACGTATAACATAACACTTATAATTTAGAACATGTTATTATAATAATACATTTGGTGCATTAAATGTAGGTACGTGATATTACGACAGTCATTTTAATATAAAAATGCCTATCGCTATTAAAGAGGCCGTTCTAGACGGTCTAATGTGCTGGTTAGATAAGCAAATTTTATTGCAGTTGCAATCATATTTTAAATTCCTTAAGAATATATTTCATTAGACAAAATAAAATAAATAATTACACATTTTTAATAAAATACAATATTTAAAAACAAATGAATTATCAATTATTGATTGTCATCATCGTTTTTTTATAAACACGTGTTGCTAATTAAATTAAAAACCTTGCGATACCGCACACAATTTTGCACAAAAATCATAGGAAATTGTTGATTTTAGGCAATTTTATGTTACTAATGAATTTTAGTATTCATCCTTTCAGCATTGAATATTATTACTTACACATAAATATGAACAGATCGTACAACATTTAGATCCCACTTTTGGAATTTTACTGTACCAAATTGGATGTAAAGCGGCTTGTTGGCAGTTTTGGTGATTGAAAAGCTGTGGCAATGGTACTAACCATTTAGGTACATCTCTTATTAACAACGATTTTCCTTTCTTTTCGTTTTTACAACATCATAGACTAATGGCATAATAACTAATAGCCAAATAGCAAAATGTAAGAAATGTAGGTACTTTCTTCAAATTAATATGAACAGTTACTGAGTAACTACGGCTACATAAAGCACCGATTCAAAGCATAAGCACCCCGCATGAACAGTTCGCGAATTACAGGCAAACAGTCTATATAAACAGTTCATACATGAATCCGCGTCACCAGCGCAATTGTCCCAAACAAGAACGCGGGCGCAAGCGGTCTACGAAGTTACTATCACTTGGCAAAGTTATTCGTGTCACTTCACATTTCTGAAGTTGAAACCGCGAATAACGGAACAAGTTGAAGTGGTTAGTTGACACTTTGTTGCAAGGTCCTAGCTAGGTGCAACTGCTGGCGACAGTATCGTTGGCAACTTTGTGGCGGCCATGATAAGCCGACATACCGGCGGTAACTAATGTTGACGTCACCTTCATCAGTTAAGCGCGATGCGGCGCGATGCGGCGCGATGCTTTTGTTTTTATGTTTGTGGCCTAACTCAGGCTTGTTGTTGGCCTTGTTCTACATTGAGGATTACAAATTGGTTGCTTTTAAATAGGGTTGGTAGTTACTTGTAAGATGTTTACTAAGGGCTTACACGTCGTCCCATGTTAAGATCTAATCACTAATGGTTGCAAGCAATGCACATTTGGCCTGCCAGCGACTGCACAGTTGGTGCGGTGGCTGGGCAACTGGCTGCCGTGCAACGTGTCGCGGGTTCGATTCCCGCACGGAACAACTCTTTGTGTGATCCACAAATTGTTCCGGGTCTGGGTGTCATGTGTATGTGAAATTGTATGTATGTAATCGCACCCACGACACAGGAGAAATTCCTAATGTGGGGCAACGTTTCCATTAAAAAAAAAAAAAAAATGAAATTCTAGAATCTAGATACATGTCAATAAATGTAGAAAAATGATATTGTATTAAAACTAAAGTTATATCGTGCGAGTCACATGCATGAGAAGCCACCAAGTAGCTATGACATAAAAATATGTTAAGTACCAAAAAGTAAAGTAAAATGTATCTTCTTAATATTTGAAAACATGGCAAACCAATTCGCTTCATAAAAATCTAATTCTAAGCTTAACTTTACCGAGTTTCCTCGACTTTAATTATATTTTTTCTGTTTGTTCTCAGGAGGTATCGAGGTACCAGAGTTTGGGGAGCCCATCACGAATCTGACGGTGCCGATTGGGAGAGACGCGACCTTCGAATGTATAGTTGTCAATTTGGGCAACTTTCGGGTGAGTTATAAAATAAGTAGTTATCTTTAAATATTGATGAAGTTAACTTTTACTGAATCCTGATTAAAATTACAGGTTATGGTATATACATAGTTTTGTTTCTCTATCTTATAGGTTTTTTTTTATGTAATAGATCGGCAAACGAGCAGACGGATTACCTGATGGTAAGCAATCAGCGCCGCCCATGGACACCTGCAACGGAGGAGTTACGAGTGCGTTACCGACCTCTTAGGGATTAGGGTTTTGGAGATTAAAGGATTGGGGAGGGATCGGGGGAGGGGAAGGATTGGGCCTCCGGTAACCTCACTCACACGGCGAAACACAACGCTGTGGTTGTTTCACGCCGGTTTCCTGTGAGGCCGTGGTATCACTCCGGTCGAGCCGACCCATTCGTGCTGAAACATGGCTCTCCCACACTTAAAAACTATCGTTAGATACCAACAATCGTCCATAGAACCAGAAAACAAATTACCAACCTAAATACAAAAAGGAAATTAAACAAAGAAATTAATATAGTAAAATTAAATCAACTCAAAATCACAATATCGGCTTCTGAATTTCACCTCAGCTCCGCCTACAGGTATTTCAGTGGAGAATAAGTAATTCACGTTTAAATCAAGCCTTTATTACTTCGAACAATCTATATTAATAGTCTGTGTAGACAAAAACCTTACTCCGTCCCTCCGTCGACTATATAATAAAGTCGAGAGACTGAATATTAATTATATTAGTTAACTTGAATTAGCCACTCGGTTTTAGGCAGAATAAACTAGTGGCAACATTGAAACGAAGTTGAAAAGTCTGGCAACACCAGATTAGCAGTGAGCCACGGTGGAGACTGGATTGTTTGAACCGCATCATAAATGGCTTTGTTAACTGTTCGAATTGCAAACTCTTCAGATTTTGTTCCAAGTTACGAAATCTGGTATTGCGTCTGATGTTTGCCAATTAATAAGGTCTCAGTTTATAAATTCTTCAAAATTAAATGGCAAAATATCAAAAAAAGGTAGTAAACATGAAGTAGCGTATGTATATACCTAATACTTAACAAAAGTACCTACGAATTACCTCTAGACTCAATAAAGCTACAATACGATACCTTTAGTTTAAAATCTAGTATCAATATTATTTTTAAAGTGATATGGCAACAAAATAACCCCTCATCACTTAGTTGCCAATCGATGCCTCCTTGGATACCCGAAACACTAAGGCGTTACGAGTGCCAGCCAGCCAGCCTTTTAAAGGGTTAGGAATATGAGGATTGGAAATTTGGAGATTGGGAATGGATATTAGGCCTCCGGTAACCTCACTCACATGGCAAACGGAATTCTGTGGTTTCATGTCAGTTTTCTGTGAAGCTGTGGTATTTAAGCCGATCCATTCGTGCTGAAACATGACTCTCCTACACTTACTGATATTTACCAAAGAATAGAGAGTCGACTACAAACTGAACATTGGATTTGGTATTGAATGAATAGCTCACTTTGTGAGACAATTAAACCCTTAATTAGTTTTTATAATGCAGGATAAACGTGAACGATCATCGTAGGCTGAGAGCATCTTCAACGTGATGTTGAAATTTGTGTTTCTGACCATTTCGCTAACAGTTTGATTGAGAGAATTACTCAGAAATGATGGCACAACTGAATCACTTGAGCATCTATACAGTTGCTAAACAAAATATAATTCAAAATTAATTCACTATTCCATGCTCTTATTCTCTGACAGTAGCTACCCCAGTAAAATAAGCTTATTCAAGTTAACAAACATGGCATTTCTGTTCGACCAACGTTTTATTTGACTAGTTGTCAACAACAATATTCATGGCATTTAATCATTTCAACGAGGCATGACAAAATAATTACCTTACATGAATATTCGTAAATTAATTATTTATTTAATGCCGGCACGTTAGTAATTTATTGTTTCGTAGCATGAAAATGTCACTTACAGCATGGATATCTTTAGCAAAAACATTATTTGGAATGGATTCAAATGGAAGGATTTACTAGGCATTACTTATCGTGTTTTCTAGAAAAAAAAAGCCATATTTTGAGTCAAAAGAAGTATTTCTAAAACCACTTCGTTAGCCATTTATGCGGTATGTCTCCATTACACAAATTCCTCATTCTTCATAAAATTTGGCGAGATGCAACGTCTAGCAGCAAAACTATTTGTTACAAGAGTTAAACAAAACATGAGTCCTATGCGTATACTGTTACGTATATTGTTTCGTCTTAAAAACGAAATAATAGTCTTCACAAAATGGATGATTTGTCATTCACAACATTTTTTTTTTTGTAAGATTCGTTGGCAATCGCGCTTCTGGATTAACGTTTGGTAAGCGATTGGTGTCGCCCTTGCATACCATCACCAAATCCAACTTTTGGGGATTAGGGTTACGGATATCTAAAGAATTAGGGTGGGATAGGGGAAGGGGAAGGTCCGGTTACTCATAATAAATGGCAGTACACAACTCTGCGGTTGTTTCTCGCCGGTTTTATGTGAGGCCGTGGTATCACTCCGGTCGAGCTTTCCCATTCGTGAGGAAGCTTGGTTCTCACACGCTTGGTTGGTATCCAAAGTTTGAGAAAACGTGTAACATAGTTGGAGCTCTGTAGCGACTGTTGACGCAGTTCATAACAACAGGCGCCATCTTAAAAAAAATATGTCGGTTATCTACCTAAGCCCGCATGCGTAATTAATAAGTTTTGTTTATGTAATATTTAAGCGAAGCACCCCTTTCCTTATTTAAAACTGACTTGACCCGAAAACAAACAGATTAAAAATCATACTTACTTAAAATTTGTTTTTTCATTAGATTCTTACTTTCTAATGTATGTAATGATGTTATTTTTGGAATACGATGTTCTTTTATTTTGTTAGGACCCTCACTGGAACGAGAGAAAAACCTGCTAAATGTATTTAATTAATTTACTTTGGTAATTTTGATTATTCGAAGCACTTTCGGTCTTGGTAGGCTATTTTATTTTTGGAAATGAATGCAGATTAATTTGTCTGATTTGTAAGTAGATTTCTGTAACTTTTTCTGTTTAACGCATCAAAGGATTTGTTGAATTTTTGAGGTTTTTTTATGTAATTGGTCGGCAAACGGGCAGACGATTGATTTACTAGGCATTACTTATCGTGTTTTCTAGAAAAAACCCTAAAAGAAGTACTTTTTTATGTAATAGGTCGGCAAACGAGCAGCGGATTACCTGATGGTAAGCAATCAGCGCCGCCCATGGACACCCGCCACGGAGGAGTTACGAGTGCGTTGCCAACCTTTTAGGGATTTGGGATTTGGGGATTTAGGGATTGAGGGGGGATTGGGGGCGGGGAAGAATTGGGCCTCCGGTAACCTCACTCACGCGGCGAAACATAACGCTGTGGTTGTTTCACGCCGGTCTTCCGTGAGACCGTGGTATTACTCCGGTCGAGCCGACCCATCCACACTCTCTCACACACACTACCTAATACACAATAATAACATAATTATTGTGTATTAGGTAGGTAACCAGGTACCTACTAAGACATTGATACTTTACACAATTTTTTTAACGAAGTCTTTAAAGAACATTGTTACAGTGATCTTAAAAGAAATTTAACTGGACTAAATATTTTTTTTTTAACCCAAAGTGTCATCCAAATCTTCTCAACTGCTTCTGAATTTGCTTATGAGATGGAGTGATATATGAATAAACTGATAAGCAATTGGCGCCGTGGACACTCGCAACATCAGGAGTGTTATTTTTGACCGGCTAGATTCAGGAGTTGCGGGAGGGGATGTCTAACCTCTGGTAACCCCACTTACTCGGTGAAACAAAGTGGTGTGGTTAAAGAACAGCGACTTACGACACAATTGATTGCGAATCACTTTTAATCGAACCATCTAGAACCATCTAAAACTCTTTCATCTTCCAGGTGGGCTGGGTGAAAGCAGACACGAAGGCGATACAAGCGATTCACGAGCACGTTATCACGCACAACCCAAGAGTATCAGTCAGTCACAGCGACCACTCGACCTGGTACCTTCACATCAAGAACGTGCAAGAAGAAGACAGAGGACAATACATGTGTCAAATTAATACTGATCCTATGAAGAGTCAGGTGAGTTGGTTCGTATATAACATAAATTAAAGATAGATTGAACTCAAAGACAGATAACACTACTACTTTACTGTACTTTAGGAACAAGCCTATTCTCGACGTGATGAGACCAGTCCATAATCCGTAGCACAAGAAACTTCTAAACCGCGTTTGAAAATGAATGTGCGTCCCTCAAAAATGTTTTCTATATATTATTAACTAAGATATCCCGCCCTGTGTGGGGTGAAAGGGTGCCAGACTTTTACTGACTAAAAACCAACCCAAAACCAACCTTCTCCATCCACAACAACAACACTACTTGGTCTGTAGCTTTACAAAAAGTAAAGTACAAAGAAAATTATATTTGGGATTTTCAATGTATTTGTTTAAAATGCTTCATTAATTTGAAATTGAAATGGTGGCCATTGTAAGTAGGTAAATGAGACAGCGCACAGATTGAGATTTACGATTTTTTATTAATAATCAAATACAAATATAAGGATCCTAAAAAATTAAACCATAACTTTTAATTTTTAGCATGGGCATGTTGTAGCTTCTATTTTCTGTTTCATCTGTTTTAATCTTCAACTCATGTTTTTGTCACACCTTTATTGTATTTTTATATATTTTATATATGCTGCATCGTGCCTGGTGCTGAATAAATGTCTTTTATTTCTTTCATTCTAATTGCCGCGACAACACCAATAGAAATAAATCTATCTATAAAAATGTCCTAGAAAACCCACCCATGCGTAAAATACAACACATTTTTTTACAGCTAACTGCATGAGACCCTGGTAACATACATAGTAATGGATTGTGGTGTAGTGAAAATTCGGAAACGATTTAACGAGAATGCGTCACGCGGTGCACTTTGACCAATATTCTGACGTAAATTGCAACTTATGTGGCGACGCCACAGTATGCTACTGATGCATTTTTAACCACTTTTAAAGTAGGTAGTTGCTTTATTAATGATAAAGGAAATTGCTTGTAAAATGAGAATTTTCCCGGCCATCTACATATTTAATTATTTTATTTTGGGTAAAATTTTGATGCGTGCCGTAATTAATTTGATATGCTCAGGTCAAGAGTCAGTTTCGGCCACCTCTGCTTCATAGAAAAATTTTATTAAATTATAAATACCAACCACCACCGCCAAACATAATATTCGTAGTAAAACAGATAGGTCGATAGATCCGCTTTTCAGTAAGAAATATTTATTTATAAATACACCTCCAGAACAACTTAATTTACTCGAATAAAAGAAAACAATATCATTGAACAAAATAAAAATAGAACTCACACTAACAATAATAATACTGGCAAGTTACTAAATAAAGAAAGAAAATATAAAAGAAACTACCTCGTTACTAATAAAATTCTTAACGTGTTCTTGACCTGCCGATGGGCATGAGTGCCGCCGTGACGTAGACACATTGATAGCATTCAATACGCTGATTGATTCCCCGATCTCTACTTACTGGGAAAGGGTTACATAATAATGCTAATAATTTGAACATTACTTCGTTCTTCTTAAGGTTTATTTTTCTATTTTTAAAATTGGCTCCTCGGTTGGATCTTCTTCTATGGTCGTGAACAGTGTGTTTACAAATATAAAAAGTCAGGTACACATCACACCCAGAACTGAAAAAATAATTTGTAGATCAAATAAAGAGTTGGTCAGTTCGAGATTTGAAACTTCAACACTTTATACTGTAACCCGTTGCCAACCACCGCGCCCATCGTGCAGTTAAATATTAAATTAAATTAAATTCTTTATTTCATCCATATATAAAAGTGTTAGTAATTTCATATACTAATCTTAGTAGAAAACAGTAGTTAGTGATATTTATCAATGATTGACATGTACATCAGGACGCACCTATCTACTACTACTATTTACCCAGTGTCTAATAAACAGCCCATCAATTTCGTCTACCAGTGTAACTGCTAGGACTGTCCCTGAAAATCTGGCAATTAATTCCGCAAACATTCCAGGTGCGCTACACCATCGAAGCAGTCGTAACAGCATCCTCAGCGCATTACTATATTGAACTAAATATTTCAAAATACCGTGCACCAATACTACCTATTTCGTAATTTGCTCCATTTCTGGATAAAACATACCTGAGGGTGTTTACGAAAAGTTTACAAATTTCTTTTAATAAGCGTTCCAGAATTGATGACGCTAATAACAGCACATATACCTACCACGGCCTTGGGTCGTGAATAAGAGAAGGAAGGTGTTGAACCACCTTCGGTCGTCAGTAAGAATCTGACACACACTCTCTCGCCCCACCCACAGCGGGAGAAGTCATTTGATCATGAGCCAAGAATGCGTCTTCCTATTCTTACATCAGGTACATGAAATCGTACTTACATCAATGAAATCATGAAATATATTTATTTTACAAAAATAACTTTGCTTACATTACAAATTTTCCCGCGCTTATCAATGTTAATTAAGAAAGCAATATTAAACAATAACATTGTTCCTGTGGCGTTTATGAAAGAATAAAAACATTTATAGAGAAACGGATAATAATATGATTACGCGAACAGCCTCCGTAGCATGAAAAAAAATTAATTAATTGAAGCATTTTATTTCTCTCGGCAAACGACGCGATGTTTCGAACACTTTGCAACGTTCAACAAACTTATTAAATGAGGGAAACGCTAAAACTTATTTCAATTGAAACAATTCTTCATTCTTATTAATCTGGCTAGGAATAAATCTGCTCAAAATTATAATATTTCCAATCTCCTTGAATACAAAGATTTACCATGGAAAAGTGCTAAAAGTGTCACGATTCAGTAGCTTCAGGTATAATTGCCACTTCTGTTTATTTTATGTCGATCTTCGTTCAATAAGCCGAATGGAAATCTGAAAAGTCTTCAATTAAGTGCCAATTTACCATCTAAATGTGATTAGAACATCTTGGTAAGTAATTTTGAGTAAATATTTTCGCTTCGGCGATCGGGAAACCGCAGGATTCAGATTTAATTTCATCAACAATGCGAACTATGTTAGGTTTCTCTATAATTAAATGATCTTGTTTACACATTCAATGGGGTGTTGATTTTAGAATGTTATCGTGCGTTCTGGATTTTGATTATTATCTATCCAATTTCGACACGAGTTTGTTATTTGTGTTACTTTAGATTTTGTGATAGAATTAAATGATTGTTATTTTCATTCTGTCATTGTTATTTGTGCCTGTCAACGGAATGAAATACAAAGTTTTATTGTTTTGATTTCGCTTAAAATCACTTTGATTTATCAAAATTATTTATTCAAATTATGTTCTGTATTATAATTGTTGTGCATAATTTTAATGTCATTATTATTTTGAATGTAATTAACGTACATTAGCTTTGACACCTAATTGGCTCATTGATTGCAAATCAATAATTTTTGTTCACTATGTTCACTATTATGGCTCTTGTTTCATTTTTCGGGAATGTTTATACTAAATACTATAATCTTAATATTCATGCATTCTAGTCACAAATTACAAACTTACTCATTTAGTAAATATCTTAAAGTTGATACATTTAAATAATCCGCTACATCACACACAATATCGAAAGTATTATAATGTAGTTTAATAAGACCATAATAAACAGACACTTTTCAAAATATCGTAAATAGATTATTCAGTCTATCCGTCAGTCGAGGTTGATGGTCTTTCGGAGAAGAACAAGCAAGAAACATCATCGTTAAGTTTTTTTATTTACCTTTTTTTTTAAACTGCTTATGTTTCCTTTTATCCTCAGATGGGCTTCCTAGATGTAGTGATACCTCCAGACTTCATTCCTGAAGAGACATCGGGAGACACAATGGTTCCCGAAGGTGGAACAGCCAGGGTTTCTTGTAAAGCCCGTGGTGTTCCACCTCCAAGGGTCATGTGGAAACGAGAAGATGGCATGGAGATCGTCGTAAGGGACCAAACTGGAGCAAAAAGTAAAGGTATGTACTTACCTAATATCTATCATGGTCTGAGTGACTTTTATTACTGATAAACCATTTTTGAGGCGTAAATCGTCAATCTGCTTTGCCCTGGTTTGGATGGAAAAGAGTAACACTACCCCGTTCTTTCTCCTGCTCCAGGCCGGACACGCGATAGATTATTCGTAGTGTTGCCCAAATTTAGTCTTGGTCTTGCAGTCTTGGTCTTGTTCTTGCGTTTTTGCAAGACCAAGACCAAGAACAAGACCGCGTATTTTATGCAAGACCAAGACAAGACTGACCGTGCAAGACTTGAGCAAGAACAAGACATAGCCTGCAAGACTCTTGCAGCTAGGACTTAGCGCTATTTCACTGAGTAGTTAGAAGTAACAGTTCGGTGTCAAAAAACTGGACCTATGCGCATTACGACTAATACCATAAACATAGCGAATAAAAAAATATCTATTAAAATCAAACTGAGTGCATGCACAGTTATTTTTTAACCATCGGCACTGTGATAATGGCATCAAAGGTGGTGTACTTACTTCTCAAAGAAATTTGCCGCTTTTCGGAAGTAGGTACATGGTTACGATACACGCGCCGGCGGCTTCTTTTGAAATCTAAAACAATCGTTGCCGCCACGGATAAATCATAACATTTGACACTATTTGATTGCCGCCATAGGGCGTAGGTATACTCATGCAAAATAATTTCGAATTTTAAGAGTACCAACAGGTGTTCCAAAGAATAAATAAGTTTCAGAGTGTTTAGAATGAAAATGAATACATTATACTGATCACGCAAGTAGTATTATGATTAGGTGATTAGGATAAAATGTAGGTAGTAGATGTCATATTAATTCATTCTAGTAAGTACATATTATAATATTAATTACTTATACGGATTAAAACTAATTACTTAGGTACTATTATTGTACATTTAGTCATTATATTTCATAAGTTTTTACAAAAAAAATAGCAAAGTGTTCAAATATCACCCGTTTAATAAATATTATAGCCACTTTTAAATATACTTGAAACTGCTGAGAGGTTATTTTCTAAAGCATCATTAGTAATTAGAAAACATAAAAATAGGTTAAGTGACGAGTCAGCCAGATTTTTGGTCAAAAAAATTTATATAAAGTATCATAACCTAATGATAAAGCTGTTGATTTGTGTTGTATTTTATTTTTTATTTAAATAAATGATAAATCGTAAAACTCTTTTATTAAATTTCTTATAAGTTGAGGGTTCAATCTCTTTCTAGACAGATAAGTATTGTTCTTTAAAATACAGTCAAGTTATTGTAATTAATTTGTTTTTTTACATGTTTTAGCAAATGTAAGCTTATAAATCATAAATGTTTATTAAGAAACAGTTACTTCCGTGGAAAACGACATATAGGTCAGTTTATTTTTCGAATTTCTTATCAAATCTTAAGTTAGGTATTTATTAATCTGCTTGATCTTTACTATGGCTATGTTAATTCAAGCTCACAGTGTTCCAATTCAAATACGTTTTTCTAAGATTTAAAGTAAACTTTAATAAATAGTAATAGACTAATAGGTAATTGCAAGACTTGCAAGACTCTTGCTGCAAGACCAAGACCAAGACCAAGACTGGGAGCGCAAGACCAAGACCAAGACCAAGACCAGGTGTATTGGCGCAAGACCAAGACCAAGACTGGCTAAGTCTCGTCTTGTTCTTGCATTTGGGCAACACTAATTATTCGCAACTCCAAGATTTCCATTTTTCCTGCCGAAAACAGTTGTACATTTCCTTATTAGTCGCTTTTCGTTTTTTTATATATTTAGACTTTTTAAAACGCAATACCTTAAAAATACCCGAAATAAAAAAAATTGAGAATTATTTTTTCAACCACCTTCCAGTCGCATCAAATCATTAACCAATGTTAAATTGTCTGAATATAATATTTCAAGTAGGACTCGAACGAGAGACCATCTCCGGCCACCGTAAGCGCGAGTCTGCGGACGACGAGTAAGGGTAGCTCGCCGCCCGACCAGAACCAGACCCGAGCGTACGGCGCGTACCGTTCCGCACGTTTCCAAAGCCAATATACCACCACAGGCGGGGCTCTATAGGGCTGATGTTCAGCCGGGGTTGTGGGGTAGGCGCAACGTGGCATCGCGTCCTGGGCCTAAAGCAGGAGAAGGAACGGGGGGTTAGTCAGTAAGAGTCTGACACTTTCTCTCGCCTAACCCTGGGTGGGATGATTTTGCCCTGACAAAAAAGTAGGTCTCGAAGCCAAACTCTTTGCACAAGCCCACCAGCCTTTTACAGCGACAACCGTATAATCAAAAAAAAAACAAAAGAACCCCAAAACAAAAATAAACCCTTTCACGTTATAGTTGGAACAGTAATAAGCTGTAAATTGCAATAAATACGGGGTACATTAGTCACTGGTCACGCAACCTGGACTTACTGAGAATGTGCTGACATTAGTCTCTAATAACGGGTTGATAGTATTGCAAGCTGTTGAAGTGTTTATACATATGTAGATATGTAAAAATAATGTCAGTAAATTACTTAAAATTATTTCACCTTCTGCTGAAAAGTATCTCAGCATGATTCGTACTCGAAAATAAATAATTCTATAGAAGAGTTTTAGAATAACACGAAACATTAATAAAATATCGTTTTAAAATTTGATAGGCAGCCTCCTAATAACTCAAACACGAAATTAAAATTCACAAAATTAAATCGAACTCACAAAGGTCAAATTAAAATTCAATTTTAACGTAAAATATAACCGAATACCTTTCTCAGCCTTGATCTTGAACAATTAAACAAAATAATTAACCGTAGATTAAATTTGAGACTTGATTAAATCGCTAACGGCGACTCCGAAGGCTTATAGCAGACGTTATTATAACAATGCTTAGGGTAAATTCCAAGGGAGGCATTGTTACACAAATTGCCGGTGTCGAGCCGATACAAGACCCCTCAAACAACGAAATAACAGAACGATAAAATCAACAATTGGGCACGCTACCCGCAAATAGTGATTGAATGTTTGTTTCCATTCGGAGTACGTTTACACTTGTACCCAACAAGATTATTGAATAGATTTACTTGGGTTCAAACTGTAAGTGGCTTTTCTACGAAACACAAATTCGTTCATACACTAAGAAGGATAAAAAGATAATGAGAAATTTGAATTGAAAATAAAAAAGAAAGTAATGTCAAAAATGTGTCCCTCTTCCCCCGCCCAGAGTGCGTGAAGCCATGTGATGTCTGTGTGATCCTCCCTCCTCAAAACAAGGCTGAATACTAAATGTACTAAAGGTAAAGGTAATTATGTATGAACCAATCATCTAATTTCTTCAATAGTATATATGTCGCAGGGATATGATAAAATCAGGGATTTGGCCAAATCCCTAAGGGATTTGATCAAATCACGGAGGATGTTAAAATAACAACACGTTTTTATCATTTCCCTAAGCAAATCTAGTGATTTGAACAAATCCCTAAATTTATTTAGTGAAATGATAATAAAACATGTCCAGTTCTTGTTTACGAAGTGTGGGAGAGCCATGCTTCGGCTCGAATGGGTCGGCTCGACCGGAGTGATACCACGGCCTCACAGAAAACCGGCGTGAAACAACCACAGCGTTGTGTTTCGCCGTGTGAGTGAGGTTACCGGAGGCCCAATCCTTCCGCTCCCCCAATCCCTCCTCAATCCCTAAATCTCCAAATCCCTAAATTGTCGGCAACGCACTCGTAACTCCTCCGTTCCTTTTTTTTTTAAACTCCTCCGTTGCTTGCTCATTGCTTACCATCAGGTAATCCGTCTGCTCGTTTGCCGACCTATTAAAACGTCGCGCTCGCACTTGCTTGTCAGTGACCGTGCCTTAACTTAAACTTAACGTATGATACGTTAAGTTATTCTACTTATTTTTTTTTTTTTAATTTTTGTTTCTCTTTTTTTCAAACTAATAATGTTCTAGTGGTAATTTTTGAGATTAGTATTGCATTGTGATACACCTGATTATTATAATTATGTAGGTAATCTTACAAAATAAACCTTAAAAATATCACAAAAGTTATTTTTGTCATTTCACTGAATCAATTTATGGATTTGATCAAATCACTAGATTTCTTTAGTGAGATTTGTCAAATCACTAGATTTGCTTAGGGAAATGATAAAAACGTGTTGTTATTTTAACATCCTCCGTGATTTGATCAAATCCCTTAGGGATTTGGCCAAATCACTGATTTTATCATATCCCTGCGACATATATACGAGTACCTATTTTGTACAAAACTTAAATCAATTTGTATTAGTTACTACATATGCTTTACTCGCGACTTCTTCCACCAAAAAAATATTTAGTCTTTTAGCTGGTGTATGCTAAAAGCACCAATAAAAAAATCCTTTCGAAATCGATCCAGCCATTTCAAAGATAAGCAGAAACAGACAGGCATATTTAAATACATTTGCATGTAGCGAAATTCGAAATAAGAACCAATATTGGTTAATAAATTAGAATGCGTAGTTTTTGGCAATGGTTTCTACGTTTCAACGTAAATCAAGAATCTTTGAGAGAAAAGTTAGTTCTTTGGTAGGTGTATTGCCCACAAAATTCGAGTTGCCGTTAGCAATGTAAAAGGAAATCCTAGAATGAGGATAAGACGCTTAAGTACCTACTTAGAGAAGTATAGTTATAGAAAGCCGAAAATTAATTAGCGAAACATTTTGAGGCTAACTTCAGTTGTGATAGTTATAATTTTATTGTAGCTACAGTTCCTTCCAACAGAAATCGGGGATTTAATTAATATTTCTGCAAAATTTCAACTTACTTTTAGTTATAATTTTCTATCGATTCTATATACAATTATTTGTAATTTGAATAATGTATTATATAAGATATAACTTATTGATATAAGAAATTCATAAGAATTTTCTCCGATTTTTCCATCGTTTTTTTCTCCCTTCTGAGGACATGTTAATAAATCAGTTTCTAAATAACATTATTATTTTCCAATAACACAATGAAGTATTTTTCTTGGTTAAAAATAAATTATTTCATACAATTCTCAATCCTATAATTATATTAAAGTTATCGATGTTTTAGTAATAAGGGTGTTACTTAATGCAAAAATAAATTAAGTCTTCAGAAACGAAATCGTAGATACATAGATATCATTTGTAGCTAATCGATAAAATTATTAAATTTTAAAAGTTGTTAAAATCAGTAATTGTGGTAACTCATACCTTTAAGAACTTAGTTCACAAAAACTATTTACAAAATATACTTACAAATATATCACATTAACAATTTCTGTTCAGAAAATCTATTTACAAATGTATATCACAGTACCGTAAACAGTGGTCACAGATATCGTATAGAAAAATACCGCAGTTCGTGGTCCAATCTGATTGCGGTTCGCAAACACAGAACATAAATAGTCTACAATTTTTTACGAACTCCGAATTTATGATGTCGATTATTAACTGCCTGTAAAGAGATAGAGACAAAGAGGTATGAGTATTAAGGTTTCTACAAACTTCACATTTGATCCTTATGTAATAATAAAACATGTATTATACGACAAAACATGTATCATATAAATTAGTATAAATACATACATAAGACCGAATTAAAGATTATTTAATGCTACCAATGTTACGAAAGCGGCTATTGTTATTAAACGGAAGACCTGAAGAATATTCGAAGAACAAAGTAATGATATTCTTAGTACCTAAAACTTTCTAATTATTTTTAGATAATTTTAGAAATAGTAAAAAATCCACGAAGATCTTTGTAACTTAATAAGAACCTAACAGATTTCCCAATACTCGTGTATTAATAGTTTAAATCTATACCAAGACTTTGTACTAAAAGCAAACTCTATTTTACGTAAACAGCCTCAAAAAAATTCGTAAAAAAAGTTAAGTGATTGGGTTCAACAAGGACTTCGCCAGCTTAAAAAATATTGAGCCGGTATGCCGACGGATTTTTTTCTATTTCGCAGAATATTCGGTTTTCTAGATAGAATACATAATTGGATTAAATATGAGACTTAAGTTTTGTAGCAGCTTTTTTCTTTTGAGATATCATTTGTTATTTTAAATCATGGTTTACGTTGTCTATAAAAAAAAACAGACGTTGATTACAAAAAAATATATGAATATTGAAAAAACATCTCTAAATAGGATTTTTGTAAAATCTTATAAAATTTTTCAAGAGATTTAATAGTACGGTCTGTCGTTGATAAATATCTCAAAAAAAAATGTTGCTGCATCATGCTTTTCAAATAATTATCTATAACGTATTCTTATTATTCCTCCCTTTCTTCAACAAGCTAGAAGATGGTCTATGGTGAGAAAAAATATTAAGCGACATTAAATAGTCAAGAATTATATCGCCACAAATCAACGAATGAACAATTTACGACTTTAAGGGGTAGTTACAAACTTTGTCAAAAAAGGGACATTCTAAATTAATTATGTTTTCGGCTTACTCACGTAATAATTTGACAGTCGCCGCGTCGCGTGTCGTGGGATTCTGCTCATGAATAAAGGCCTCCAGCATAGCTTGAAACTAGTCGAGTAACTCGTCAAATGATTACGTGAGGAAGCCGAAGACATAATAATTTACTTTGTCAAGAAGGTTTGTGAAGTTTTTTACACCGTTATGCCTCTCATAATATTCTGACTGATATGAGATTTATCTACTAGGTAATATAATTATAATTATTCTGGTTTAACAGAAAACTTTTTAATTTTGAATGACACATTGTATTGAGAATCTAATTTGAAAATAACGCCTTATTCACGTAAATAAACTGAGAAACCTACCAACGCATACGCTTCAATAAATAAGAGCGCCGTTGTGTTTTGAAAAATTTTGAATTGAGTCGTTATTTTTAATATCACATCAAACCAAGTCAAAATCATTTATTCCAACTAAACCATAAATAGGTACTTTTAAAACGTCAAAATAGAATACAAGTCTGTCAGTCTCTTCGTCAGTGAAGCTAGGTTCTCATTCCAAATTGTAGTTTCGAATGGAGCAGAACGAGCAAGAAACTCCATACGAGCAAGAAACTACATCCAATGAACTGTTTAGTTTAGTCAGACAAATCAATCTATTCTTCTAGAACAAATTTAATGTTTGGAACACCCCATAGTACGATATAAAAGTTGTCACACAAATATGTCATATGACCAACTTGTATCAAAATAAAAAACATAACCTACAAAAAAATAAAAAACGCACAACATTAATCCGCATATTATTTGGCAAATAGCGGGAAAAATATTTCATTTGTCTTAGTTTATTTGAATGGAGCAAGGACGCCATTGTTTTTCTGAATATGTATAATACTAAAGTCTGTGTGACCGCATTTGTGGGTCTACAATGAGCCGCGCGGCGACTATTCTCGGGATGAGTTTCGCGTCCAGTATTGTTTAAAGTTTGTCGTAATTAGTAGAGTTCTGCCGTTGAATACACTTTTAGGTCTCATTATACGAATGGTGAATAACGTTTGAATAATTTATTGGACCTTGTATATCGTGGGTTTGGGTAGTTGCTACGAGTATTTTAAGAAGTGTTTTTGTTGCTAATATTGGTTCATTGACCAATGACTTAAAGAAATATCCGATTCATAAAATCTGACAACAATGTAAAACATAATTGTTTATCATACAATTTACAGAATTAAGTGACATATGTGAACTTAAATAAAGCTTATTATAGCGTATAAGGAAAAACAAATAAACACCCGTTTTATCTTGTAAAGTCGCAGTTGAATAGTGCAATATATTTTCTACAACGGTTACCGCTTTAGCACAAAAGCTGGACGATTAATGTAATTAAATTTTACTGCACATTTTAAGAATTTCAAACGAAGACATAAATTCTGTGTAAGTACAATCAACTAGAAAAGTTGGACGTTTATTTATAATTTTAATTTAAAATGAGTTAAATCCCCTATTCAGGACATCACTTGAAGTTTTTTTTTTATCATGCATTATTTTCTTGTAGGTTTTGTTTTATTTTAACAACACACTAACATTTGCGGTAATGTCCGAGGTGCGTCAATTTTTGGCACAAACAAGAGACTACTCATATTTATCTATACTTATACTAATATTACAAAAAGGTAAAATTTGTAAGTTGTATGTAGGATAGCCAAAATTCTTTCACTGATAGATAGCTACAATGCTCCTGAGTGCTATAGGCTCTAAAACAACACTCTATAATCAAATGGAGCCGAGCAGCAGGTGAAACCGCGCGAGAGTAGCTAGTAAGTAATAAAACTTAATTAGTGAAGTTGTTTAGCGTCTTTGTTGAAAGGTGTTTATTTTATACAACTTCCATTAAAACTACCAGTCTATAAATACTAACATCTTAGACAATAAACATAAACGTAAGCACCTTCAATTATTTGTTTCGAACAACGAACGATTTTCAAGAGCTCTTTTAAAGAAAAATTCTTTGCAATCTCGAATAGTGTTTACGTAATTCGTTGGTGACTGTACCTGTTCTTCTGGTACAAGTTTTAAACTATGAAAGACTTTATGTAACGAGTTAACCGCATTTTATAGGACTTAATGGTCATTACCGTGTGATGGACTAAGACTTACGATTCCAGACCTAATTTCTAGGATATTACTAGTTGTGGTTTTTGTATGATGTAGAAGCATCCAATTGGTTCACCTGATGGTTAGCAACGCGCCCATGGACTCCGGCAACCTTTTGGTAGGTTAGAAGTTTGGGGATAGGAAACATTTGAGGATAAGGAACGAAGGGAGGGGAGATTGCATCTTCAGTCCGGCAAACGTTACTCTGCGCTAATTTTGTGTGGGTCCACCAGATCACCTACCACAAATTTTCCGTTTTCCGACTTCAATTCTCACGTCTTGTCAGTATTAATACAAATCATTTCGCATTAGTTTTTTTACTTTAGTTTTTTTTTTAGAAGAATAGATCTATAACTATTACATCTATTACTATACTATTTACCTGTTAAATCAATGGTACTGTTTGCACCCTTAACACAATGTAAACATTTCAGTCAATGAAACAAATCTGGCTTAGCTTTAGGCAGCTAAAATGACACTATTATTTAAACAACCAAAAACATATTAAGTTGATGTCATTAAATTGTTGTGTACATTTCAACGTCAACGAAATTTTAATGAAATTACACGATTCCAGTTCATAATAGAGATATTGTATTACTAAACAAACATGTGTATCACAATATTGTTTAAATGTTATAGCTTCACAAATCGTAACTTAATATTTTGTAATTAGATAATCTGTCGGGTCATTTGTTTTTGTTCACCTAAGCTTCATTGACATCAATATGTAGTACTTTTAAAATTAAAAATGAACCTTGTGTTCATAATATTAAAGATGATTAATCATTAAAATACGTCCATTTCATTTTCTGAAATGCTTTCTTTGACATTTTGTTCGCAGTGTTAACGTACCAGGGTGAAGTGTTGAAGCTGACCAAAATATCGCGTTCGGAGATGGGCACATACTTATGTATCGCCGGTAATGGAGTCCCTCCCACAGTGAGCAAGCGTATCCACATCAGTGTACACTGTAAGTCGATCTTTATATCGTCTCGTAAATTTCGTCGGGCCCCAATTAAGCAAAATGAAGCTTTAAAAACATTCCTTCTTTCACAACCCAAAGTATCAGATCTCGCTCCAAAGCGAATTGTATTATAGATGATTTAAAAAGGTCTTGGGTATAATTAAAATAATTTAGTGCTTTTCTGTAAACGTTTCTTCGTGGAAATCTTTCGTTTGGAAAGAGATTTTTAGTAGTATCTTTTGTGTGTTATTTAGTCCACCCGGTGATTCAAGTTCCAAATCAGCTGGTTGGGGCTCCACTGGGCACTGACGTCACCATCGAGTGTTACGTCGAGTCCTCGCCCAAGTCCATCAACTATTGGGTTAAGGATCCAGGTAATGATTTTTATTTATTATCTTTTAAGTCTTGCACAACATCAAGGTCACTATATTTTAATCGCACCTATCTATATAAAGGTTATTCACTACATTAATTTAATAATCCTTACATCGCAATGGTTAATAATTTAGGTTGTACTTGTAATCCAATAAAAAAGATGAAGCCAATTTCAGATCAAACCATAAAATTGTGGTTCGGCTTTAAAAGTAAAAATCATCTACCCCGGATTGAATATAAATACGCTTTAAAAGTTCAACATTCGAATTTTAATACCGTTTGATTAACTCAGCTGGCAGGTAAGGCATCCGCGATAAAAGCGAAACAAATTATAAGGCAGCCATAAAACTCCTAGGTGTCTGAACGAAGTTTTTACATTTTTCATAAAACTTCCGCCGAGGAAAGATGAAATTCTAATATTGAATTTGAAAACAAGTGTGTTTTAAGTAATAAATTGTTCTGCAGGTGAGCTGATCATACCCTCTGAGCATCACGTGATGTCTGTAAGACAAAAGTCGATGTTCGAAGCTGAGATGACTATGACCATTAAGAACATTCGACGAGAAGACCTAGGCAGTTACATCTGCGTCGCCAAGAACTCCTTAGGAGACGTTGAGAGTAAAATAAGATTATACGGTAAGAAATCTTTGACATTTAAATTATTATATTTAATTTATTTATAACAAGTACACCAACCGCCTGATAGTCAGCTTGGAGCCCCTTAGTAGGCCTTAAATTGGCCATGCGAAACATGACCTTAAATCTAGTTAGTATTGGGTGTTACTCAGGTCATTTATTTTACTTGGTAAAAAAGGGAACAGCAATCGTAAAAAAAGTTTTTGCCAGATCAATCGTTCCACATACTAACGATCCATCGTCAATCGAGTTTACGGTGGCACTGTATAATTTATTCTTTATGCCCATAGCAGCCAAAAATAAATATTTACTGCTGCAAACGTTAATAAAACGTGTTCAATAACTCTCAAATCTGCATTTCAATTATTTACAAATACTTTTGATAAAATCGGAATTACCTCGATGAATTGAAGTCATGTTAACAACAATGTTGAACGGTTTTGAAATAAATATTTCAATTTTTGTCACAGAAATTCCTGGGAATGATAGGCATGCCTACCAGTACCCAGATGTTAGAGCAACGTCTGATGATGAGTACGGAACCAATACTTATGATGACGATGATGAGGATGTCGACAGTATGAAGAGCAATAGAGTGCCAGACAGAGCAAATAAGTGGTACGCAAATGAAGGGAAAGTGACGGTGACTGCGACCACCGGAGCCGCGTCAACGATCACCACAACGACTACAATCTTCCTGTGTCTAATCAAAAGTCTGCTATCATTACTATAACTGCTTCAACAAAATGTTTCCCTATCATTACGTTCGTTCGCCCTGATGATAATTCAGGTAATTGTCAACAATCACAGCCTGTAATTACGTTTGATTGGAATAATTTCTCTACGCATTGTTGTGTTCGTTTTTAGAGTTGGCGAATTTAATTTTCTCCGTGTTTTTCCACCAGCGTGTAACGTGATAATAACTAGTCTTATAACGTTGTATATAGTTTGTAATAGGCAAATATCCGAACTGTTTGTAAGAATATAAATATTAGTCATTCGTCTCCGATACTTACTGTTAATATGTTTACGAAATCGTATAAGATTTAAGCAAATGTTTATAAATGAATGTGCCATGTATATTGCTAATATCTTGAATAGATACATTTATATTAAAGTTTTTATTGGGCATGGTAAATTTAATTGTAAATAAATATATTGATATGTAAGCGATAGAACACATATTTACTTTATGAATTGTTTAAAACATATAAACAGTTAATAGTTGCCGAGTATTTACAAATTAAAAGTTACAATTCCCAGTGCTTATACTCCAACTGCAACTTGGGGGATACGGTACGTGCAAGTAATGGATTTCGTGGCCAAAGTCTTCCAACAGTTAAACCAACTTTATGATATTACATTCTAGATATTTGTTCCGCGGTTTATGAGATAGTTATTGATAGAATCGTTCAAGTTGCAGATGGAGTTATTTCCGCGTGTATCTAAATAATGTAGTCGAATAATAATAATGTAACTTCTTCCGAACATTGTACGTTATCCTGATCGTTACAAAAAATAATAAAATCAAGGACATGTCGTACTGTCTCTTAATTTCATCCGAAACCTTCGTTCCTCGAGGACTTTACTACCTAATTGAATATTTCAGGGAGCTGTATGCTAATGTAGCGACGGGGTGATAAATGGTAATGATACACTTCGTTATTCTGACTAAAATTCATACGTTTTACGAAATAGAATCATTTCACTACACTAATTGTATTTGGGTTTTATGTTTAGTATATCTGAAGCTAGGTGTGCTTCAGCTGCTTTATTAAAATAAACTTCAGCAGTTAAGTTAAAAGCAGAGACGAGAACTCATTTCAATTATGTGCTGCAGTTTCAACTTATACTTGAATATGTGATTTATTGAAAGTTTTATGATAAATACAAATCACGTGGCACAAAACAAATTCAAGATACAATGAAAATTAGAAACATGTTATTAGTCCTACAACAACCAATTGTATATCAATAGCAAACAGGGAAAATGTGATTTTTATATGTCCTGTAGATTTTTTTAAATACGAATTCTTTCTTTTGTTCTATCAACAAATCAGAGACTTAAAGATTAAAAAAAATCAGAGACTTATAATGATTTATTGATTTGCGGTAGCGTGTGACGTCAAGATTAACTTCATTATAATTATACGGAGCGGTGACGTTTTGACCGACTTCTAAACTTATTTTTTTTATATATTAAATAACATTTTTATGTTATACAGCAAAGTACGTGTCCAAATTTATTTTTAATCGGACTAATTTCACTTTATATGGTCATAATCTGTCATCATTTCTATTCCTAAAACTAATATATTATAATTATTATCGAGTACTACATAATGTAACAGGATTTAGCTGCCTACGCACACGAAGGGAGTGATGGGCCTATTTGTATTCGATCACACGACACATTGCCTGAGAATTGTCGTACTAATGCGAGGCACTCTACGCAGTACAACATGCTGGGATGTATGTATGTACGTACGCATATGATTTTCTGAGAAGGTAAGCTGTGATAAATAGTCCGCGTGTTTGTGAGTGTGTGTGTGTAGTGTTTGTTATGAGATCATGTAAGTAGGGGTACGTTGCTGAGCAATGACACATACAAAGGTATAATTCCATATCGAGATATTTATAACTTGTTTCAAATATTGTTTTTAACCTCTGTGGGGATGTACTAATTTATTGATTGGGGGGGAAAATCATCAAATTATTTCTCTACCCAGGGCGGAGAGTGTTAAACTTTTAGTGACTAAAAACCACCCCATTCCTTATACTGTTTCCGGTCAGGGCCGCGGTACATAAATAAGCTTGACCCTGGCTGAATTGCTAGTTATATAGGACTTCCAATTAATTAGAAGCGCTATTAATGTGTGCTGAAAATAGTTCCAGTTTTCTTAGAATGAGCATAATATAACTCCTTGCTTGATACTTGGATCAATTCTAACAACGAACCAGTTCATAAAAACTCCACTTAAAACCTTTTTTAACCTTCAAATGATATAAGGCAAAAATGACAGGTTTGCTAAATCAATTATTGTCAATGGTACTCTTGTCGATCGATGTCTACGTATGAATGTGTCAAAGGAAATGTTGGAACTGTTCTAACATTACCCATGTACGTTATAGTCATTGGATTCCATCCTGATAGCCTGCAATTGAAGTGTCGTTGAAAATTCAATGTTATATAGTTTGATATAAGTCTCTGTGTGGTTTGATATTGGTTAATGCCATGCTTGACGGTTCTTAGGTATTGGACTGCCCATTAGATTAAGTTTATAATGATTTTTGTTATGACATGATAATACCTCGGCGAAGTTGTGTAGATGCCTTAAGGCAATCCCGTACAAATATTATTATAAGTTCATCCTATAAATTCCTTGCTACTAAAATCTGAAGAACTGAAACTTCATTGGAGAAGATTTTTTTTATTAACTGTTTGTTCAATTTATCTCGTGATCATATTTATCCCTATTATGTCACTTATCCCATAATGCGGTTGCCGGCATTATAATTGTCTAAGAACACAAATGGTAGTGGAAAAATACAATACCATAATTAAAAAGAGCACCGGTACCTACAGCTAGTCGTGGAGAAGTTTATCATGTACCTAAATTAATTTATTATTGTTTATATCTTATACTAGCTACTCTCGCGCGGTTTCACCCGCTGCCCGGCTCCATTTAATCGTAGCGTGATGTTCTATAGCCTATAGCACTCAGGAATATTGTAGCTATCTATCAGTGAAAGAATTTTAGAAATCCGACCAGCGGTTCTAAAGATTACCCCTACATACAAACTTACAAATTTTACCTCTTTACAATATTAGTATAGATTGGCTATCGGGTTACGGAGCTTTTTGACAAGTAACTCGACTAATTTCAATCCACGTCAGGGGCTCATAATATTGATGCAGCATTGTGCAATACGCAGGAAACGTTGATGACGCAGCCAACTGGACTGAAAAGTGAGTAATCCTTGTGTTAGGTATAGTGTAATGAACTATTTATATTTTAAGACAATTAAGCACAAATTCATTAGTTATATCATTACTAGTAAATAAAGAATTAAATTTCTGCCAATTACTTTTGACAAAAAAAAAATAAGCGCAACACGAGAGAAATTCTTCGAATACAATTTACACGCGTTTCATTCCGGCTAATTTATTCAATTAACTTGAATACAAATGCATCAATTTACGTTACCCAATTAAGTGATGATTTAATTTTAGTATCAAATAAACAGCGGAATTTCATCAGTGGAATTCACCAATGAATTATTCAGTGGTCACTGAAAGTTGTCAATTGTTGACAGGTTTACTGGTCAACTAATTCTGATAACGTCCGTGCCATGTTTTGATTGGCGTTTTCAATTGCAGTCGTGTAATTAGACAACTTACGTACATATGTAAATTGTAATTGATTTATTTCGTTTCGTTTTATTTTTTTATATTTTGTGTCTTATTTGAACACGACAAATGACCTAAAAATACTCTAGATGATGATGATGATTAGAAGAGGCAAATGTACAGTCATACCAATTGCATGTTCCTTTCAGACAAGGCCCTACAGGGCCGATGCTTAGCCAGGATTGTGGAGCAAGCACAATAAGGTACCGCGGGCTTGGCATAGAGCAGGAGACGGAACAGGGTGGGTTTTTAGTCAGTAAGAGTCTGACACTCCCTCCTTGCTTAGCCTGGGCTGGAAAGGTCATATGATGATTTTTCCCACAAAAAAAAACTTTTCTTTATTTGAATACTCATCCTCACTGAATTAGAAATGTCTAAAACAAAAACCTTTTTAAATAATTGTCCCCTGGCCTCTAGACCTCAATCCCCATTTTTGAACTACCAGACCTGAATATAACATACGTCAGCAATGTCATGTCAAGTCATGAATACTTCACTTATCAAATAATTAATCGCTTCCACAATTTTATCTCGCCATCTTCCTGCATTGCACCGAAACTGACCTCATTATATTATTGCTCTTAAGCTCAAAATCTGCTGTATCACGGGTTAAGTAATTGGCCGGCAAATTAGCTAAGCCCAACCTGTCAATCACTATAACCCACTTACGGCCAAACGAAATGGTAACGCTCGAATTATTCAAGTAAGCTATCGAGGAAATATGTTAATATTAAAAAATATTATGAAGCTGTTTATTCTTGATAACGGATATGCAGCAGGAGAGGTAAGCAGTGGAATATCGAATAAGGCTAGATATAGCTTAGATAACTCCCGGATTTTGTCCTGTTCAAATTTATACCTTATTGGATTTATAATGCACGTCTTTCTTTTACGAAATCTAAACGGGTACCTACTGAAATGTTTCTCTCAATAATCCATACACATACACAATCCTACACTAATTAGTTGATATTTCAACCTTCCTACCATGGACTTGCAGCGTCTAGATTACGATATGGAATAGTTTTTTGGGGAAACTCTACAGATAATGATATTGCTTTTAAGGCACAAAAACGATGCATACGAGCTATGTTTGGTCTTCAACCGACAGACAGCTGTAAGCCGCACTTTATCAGGCATGGCATCCTTACACTTCCGTCTCTGTATATACTTGAGGTAGCAATGTTTGTGCACACAAATCCTCATCTTTTCCAACGGCTGTGTGATATTGTGCCGCGAAATAGGCGCAACAATAATAAGCTGTGTCTTCACACAGCAGTAACGAGTCTGATGGGAAAGAGTCTTTTATGTAAGGCGCCAAAATTGTATAATAAAATCCCTAACAACATAAAAAATTTCAATGTTAGTGTATTTAAACACAAACTTAAAGCAATATTATCCAAGAAATGTTATTATAATGTAAACGACTTCCTTAATGATAGTAATTTGTAAATATTTATAAGTTTAATTATTTTTGACATTTATTATTTTTGACATTTTGAATGCAATACTATGACGTTTTTATTTTGTTATTCTATCTTTATTGACCTAAGTTAACAATATTTCATACGCCTGTGAGGGCAGATTTTGGTGGTACTAACATTAATACTGTGATCATAATTATTTACCCAAAATGTAATGAATAAATGATGATTGATTGATTGATTGATTGATTGATTTCTCAAAAAGTGCTTTTAAAAATATTTATTCCACTATTATTTTTCATTAATGTCAAAAAGATAAAGGTTGTTTTTTATTTCAGAAATGTTTTTTTGATATATATACCAAACGAAATAAAAGAAGAAGCCACAACATATCAATATATATATAATATACACATTATAGCGTAGGCAGTCACATAATTGAATCACGAATGTGCTTCAAAGAACGCTAGAACGAGAAGAGTTGAATAATCACCATTATTTTTCGTCGAGACAAAGGAGAGCTCACAAACGGCTTTAATTTGGGCAATCTAAACATGGCAAAGCAAAAGTGATTGATGTCTGCAGCCTCCCCCCAGTAACAAGTGTTCAACGTGACAGTAATCAAGAAAAATGTTGTCATTCTGTTACGGGAAATTGATAAATCAATTTCATTTTACAACTTGTACTGTCAGACATTATTGTAGTTAATGAAGTAAACTTTAGGTTTTTTAATAGAACAGCCTACAGTAACT